CAGCACCCTCCCTGTGAGCACAGTGTGCTCTGATTGGTCGGGACACGTAACATGAACGTGCCGGGCTGCGCGGTCCCGTGGATTAGATGCGCGTTCATAATGCAGAGGGAAATAACTCTCAGAATAACGTTATTAGCAAATGTTTTACAACTTGAGGAACGAATGTTTTTTAATAAGGTCTATACAAGTGTTCATACTGGGTAGTTTATTTAGTTAAAACAATTATCCAACGAGTTACAGACCACTCTTTCCCCATGTAAGTCAATGGGAAAAGTGTTTCCGGGCCTGGCAACCAAACCGGAAGTGTAGTACCGCCGTTTGGCCAGCACGAATATTTTCATCTGAGTCCGGCGCACTACCTGGGGGCTTGACTACCGCTGCCTGCTGGTAAGGAAAGTTATTGCCACTCACGCATGCGCAGTTTGTACGTGCTCGGCGAGGAAAGTAACGAGTAAAGTACCGAGTTACTTTATGTAGATAGTAACGAAGTAGTGTAATATATTACATTTTTTAAAGTAATACATTTATAATTTGTAGTTCCGGACCATGGACAATGCAGCTTCCTTGAGATTTTTTTTTACTTGTCCTTTGGGAACCACTGGCATACATGATAGTGGGCGTCTGAGGGTGTCATTACTGAGAAATGTCAAAGAAATTCAAACCTTACATTTTAAAACAGGTTTGCATTCCTCCACTTAAGGTGACGTTATCATTGGAAACAATAAAAACGAACTATTTTGATGTAGAATTTATAAATTGAATCGTTAGAGCAGAACAAAATGGTTGTATTGTAGCCTGAGTTCCGTGCAGCCCTAGTTTCAACAGGTGTAAACATGGTCCATATAATGTGAATACATGCAGAAGTAGACAGTAAGAGGCCCCTGACATCAGGTCTATTTGTTAAAATAGTAGGGGCTCTTCACTCTGCATAGCAGTATGAATAGCCTTAAAAAACAAACAACCCACTCCGTGGTAACGAGAGTCATATTTCTGACCCATATGCCCTAAGTGAAGCCGTTAGTCTCATCTAACTGACCCAAGGGTTGGTGCTGGTGTGACAGTTCCAAGTGTTCAGAGCAGAATTCCAGCTTCGGCGGGGGGGAGCAGACCCACGTGAGACAGTGTCAATGGCTGTATTGTTCAGTGTGAGGAGCGTCATTCTCTCTGGGAGCAGGAAATGGTGTCCATTCTCGGACCAAACCATTAATGTCATGTAGAGCAGCCATAGCATCTCTGTGACTGCACTCAGCCGGACTGTAGCAGGGTAGAACTGGGTGACTCTTAGTGAAGCTGTCCAACGCCATTAGACAAAATGGAACCACGTGCTAACAAAAGGACACAGGGTCATCAATGTCTCTCTTTACCATTGGCCTAATCATAAACAAATTAGTGGGAAAAATGTGGAACACTAATCCATCATGTGGAATGTTGAGTTAATTTAAATAATTACTTATGGGTTGAAATCAAATTAACATTAACATTAGAACCAAAGTCAGTTAACAAATTTGACTTGCACAGATCAGTAATCAATACACCATTTTTTTTTTCAGCTCCGTGATGAAAACGATAACAGGCAGGGATGCAAACTTGTCATCAATAAAATATTATTGGGGTATGGACAGGGTTGCTAACTTTGGGTACCTGGCTGGAGTGAGATTTTGATATCATGGGTTTAATTACACACATGCGCACGAAGCGACTGCTATCGTGTCCGTAGCGGGACCTTAGCATATATTTAGGATATATATATATAATATATATATACAAATACACAATATTGGACACAGACTATAAAGGGCACACAGTTTCATTAAATAATGAAAGTCAAACACATGTTTGTTTCCACTGTTTTATTGTGTGCCTGTCGCGATAAGCAAATTATTGACTTATCGGCTCCCGAGTATTTGTGTTAGATAATCTATGGTAGGGCTAACCCATACAGTGGTGGGGCTCAAATCAGTATTTGAAATGTAATTACATACACGCTATATCGCCCCCTTGTCAGTGAAACGCCACGCGTGAGGTTTAGAATATTTCCCTGTCTCAATCCAAATTGAACTGTATGAAATAAAAATAAAAATAAAAACATTTGTCTTGTAGTAAATAAAAAGGCGACCTGGAGCCAATCCTACCATTTCCTCACAAGTGAAAGAGTTCACATGCTGAAAACCCAACCCCCGCAGGGGGTCTGGGGGGATTCTCCCCCAGGAGATTTTTGAAATACTAACATAAAATACACATTCTCTCTTTTAGAGGAAAAAATAAATCCATCTATAACCACGCGACATATTTAAATGAAGCTGAAACTGCTGCTCCTCCCATAGGGAAGAGGCTGTGTGAATTACTTCGAATTACTTTGAAATTACCCCATTGTTCTTTGTGTCAAAATGGAAGGTTTCTGGCTAACGTTAGCTTAGGTACTCATATCTTGTTCTTGAGTACAAGTAGAAGTACCAGAGTGTAGGAATACTAAGTTACAGTAAAAGTACTGCATTCAAAATGTTACTCAAGTAAAAGTATAAAAGTATTGTCATCAAAATATAGTGAAAATAGCGACAGTAAAAGTAGTCGTTGTGCAGATTGGTTTATTCCAGAATAATATATATGATATGTTTTATAATGATTGATCATGAAAGTGTTCTCAAAGCTGGTAAAGGAGAAGCTAGTTTGAATGACTTTGTATACTGCATACGGTAGCTGGTGGATTCACTCCAGGTGGAACTAAAGTCTGATTAAACACTTGATTAGATTTCACATCATTCATCCACATCTGAAAGTAACTAAAGGTATTAAATACATGTAGTGGAGTAAAAGTACACCATTTACCACTGAACTGTAGTGGAGTAGAAAAATAAAGCAGCAAAACATTTTAGATACTCAAATAAAGTACCAGTATCAACAGTACTGGCAAAATTATAAACTGACTGCTGCAATTAGATGTTCCTCTTTGTGCTGTGGTCATAAAACCCCCAATGGGTCGCGCCGTGGTCTGCTTCAGATTATCTTCTCCTTCCAGAGGTCACGCCTGTCTCTGACCTCGTGTCTTGCGTTTTATTTTATTTTCTTCTTCTGCAGCACCAAGCAGAGTAAAGAAAAGGAGGGGATTTTGACTAGAAATAATTTCAAACAGTTAAATAAAGAATGTTGAACTATATTTAAAACTGTAATTGAACTTCAACTCATATCCATTATCTGATTCCAGTGGCCAGTTGGAAACAGATAATGACAAAGTTTTCATTTTGCATCAATCGTGCAAAAAGGTTCAATCACCATTGTGTCTAAGTCTTGTCTTATCTGCTTTGTTTCGGAATGTGTTCAATACATTAGGTTATTTTATTTTCATTATTACCATACAATACATAGATTAAGAATAAATGAAACAAATAATACAACATTGACCTATTTGAGCAGACAGATGACCCGCAGTTATGCCTCTGAGGTTCCCGGGTGTAAAACAGAGGCTTTTTTGCTATTTATTTTCCTTTTGCGGAAATTTAGATTCATTTTACCTTGGCTGTGGACTGATTCATTTATTAGTTGTTACAAAAACATGCACAAGACGGCAGGTATACAAACAAACACGAAACAATTATACAAACAAACATGAACCCGCAACAAATATCAGGTGACAGCTAAACTCATCCAGTTTAATTTTAATCCGAATTAGGGAAACTTCAGCGGGGGTAGGGAAATATCAGTACTTATTTTTACTTATTGTTTTTTTTTTAATTTAAAAAATTTTTTTTTTTTTTAAACAAAATCCAATTCAATAATCCGTAAATGTATTAAACACAGTGTGAATGTAATATTCTGCCACCACCCTTCCCATTTAATAGCTCAATTTAGTTCTTGAGCTTATGGTGTGATTAACAGAAAATACAAGTCTGTGTTGTTAAACATTAATTCAGTTGATGAGCAATAAACTACCTTATTCTCAATCAAAACCACTATGCAAATGTAGTGGTAAAACTGCTCAACCGACCGAGAGCAGAGATATTAATTAATTTAATTAATTCTAAGAACGGAATCTGCTGAAGAGTAATAACCACATTATTCTCAATCAACAACCACTATGCTAATTTAGTGGTGCTCTGCCCTCCCCGATCCGGAGAGCAGAGACTTTTAATGAATTCAGTACCCTTTATTTGAACAACAGCCAAATTCAACAACCCCTCAGTTTATGAAACACAGCGTGACGTAATATTTAGTAACATCATAATAAGAGTTATGTTTATTTCCAAAACTCATAATGGTGCGATTTAAGTAGAATACGACACTGTGCTTTGTTTCGTGTGCTGCTCCCCACAGGGGGGGGGGGGGAGGGGAATTACCCACACCCTCTTCCTGCAGCAGCAACAGGGTGATTTCGAGGCGAGTTGATTTAACTAGTTAAACCGTTGAAATCTCCAGAATTCGGCGATTCGTTTCAGTACAAATCTTTACATTGCTTTTAAACCGAAGTTCCACATTAGTGATGCCCTCTTTAAGGTCTCTCCGAATATTTGCCGTGCACACACACAGAGGAAACCAAAAATATTGCATCTATCTGTTCCACAGGTAATTTTATACCGTCAATCACAGAGTCTGGCGAGGCAATGTCAAAATATAGATTTGAAATTACACTCACCAGCTCGACGATTTGTTGGTAACCGTTCGCGACGCCAATTGTGAAGTAAAAACTTCTTTGCAGCAATGTTGAGCGCATCATCAAATGAGTGAAACTGGATTCGCCTGTCAATACACTGATATTTATTGAGAGACAGACAATTGCATACGGCCGGGAGATCATCCTAGTTTCACACTGTCCTTGTGCTCCACCAAGGTAATCTCTGAACCAAAAGACACAAAACATCTAACCAACACGAGGAGAGGCGGGCTCCCAGAAAGCCCGCGTATAATCAATAGCCGATGCGAGACAATGGTCTGCTTGTCTCAAAGAGATGCTGCCAGGTCAACCCCCCACGGACATAGGAGAAGCGTTTGACCTGTGACCTCAACCTACAGAAGAGTCTCTGACTGACTACAAGCAGATGTTTGCAGTATCACAGATTCTATAAAACAATAAGAAACTCTATAAACAGATCAGATGAAAATATTCTCTTACAGACAGGAGATACAGAGTGACTAATTTATGAAAAACATGCCAGTCTCCTTTAGTATGTTCTTCTTTTCAAAATAACTTTATTTTCTATAAATACCATCATTAGTTTCTTACTTAAGAATGTATATTACACAACATTTATTCAGTACACTTTAGTTACCAAATGTTTTCACCTGTCTTGCTTTCACGAGTAATTATAGGTGATGCAAAGTAAACTCATGAGCTTCAGTGCAGCTCATAATGTGTTTTCTGCTTCAATTTGTCTTTTTTGTTTTTCATGTCCACTTTCCCCAGTCTGATTTCACAATGCAGAAAAAACATCTGATTTTCAGATTTTCAGAATCTACCAATCTATGTTCCCTTTTCATTAATTTACTAACACAGTTTGTAACCTCCAAATCATTATTTTCTTAAAACATCTATAACTGGTTAGCTTGTGTTGTCGTTTTGTTCATTTTGTGTCCCGGGGTCAGATTATTGTGTTTCTGTTGATGCAGTTTCTTTCCCTTTAAGGTGAGGGGGAGGTTGACTTATTTGGATTTGGCGTTGGCCTCGTAGAGGGAGGTGAGGCGGGCCTGGAGGTCCTGGGAGTAGGGGTTCAGATTTACTCTCAGATCCTCAACGTATGGGGCGGCCATATCTCGAACCTGAATGGCTTTCTGTATCAGCTGATCTTGAACCCGCTCGGCCATGGGGGCCACACGCTCCTGGAAGTCCTGCAGGTGCTGGTCCACTTTCAGCTTCAGGTCATCGGTGTAGGGCCCGAGCTGGGCCTGCAGGTCCTTCACACTCTGCTTCAGCTCCTCGCTCTTCTGCTCCAGGGTGGCTCTCAGGGCCTCGGTGTCAAGGGACTCAGCGTAGGAAGCCAGCTCCTGTTTGAGCTGCTCCACTCTCTGCTGGATCTGGACCTCCATGTTGTCGGTGTAGGGCTTCAGGGCAGCGGCCAGCTCCCTTTCCACACACCCGGTCTCACTGGTGACTTTGTGGATCATGTCCTTAGCTGCAGGGGGAAGCTGGTCCTGCACGGCGGAGGCAAAATAGAAGGCAGCCATGAACCCGTCTACCAGACGGTCACTAGAAAGGAGCGAGAACAATGGGATGTTACCTTTAATTCGAATTCAGTGAGGAGAAATTGCATATCAGTTTGCAGTATACTTTTTTTTGTTTGCATCATTAGAATGTCGACAATGGTAACAATGGTCTTGTCTAGACTTACTTGACATGCTTGACAAACGGTGATTTGCTGATCATCTGGAGGGTGTCATCAGCTGTGTCTTTTGCCTTTGCGACATAGTCCCAGAAGGCCTCAGTCAGCAATTCAATCTGTGGCTTGGGTGCATCAGCATATAAAATGTTGGCATTGCAGCCTGTTGAACAGAGACAAAAACATTTTGAACAACAGTTGGAAGGTTCAAAATATTTCAGAGTTTTCAGGTATTTTAACCGAAAAAATATTCCGAAGGAGGTAAAGTGGCACTATACTGAACTGCCAAATCCTAGAGGCATGTGTGAGTGTGTGTGAATGAGCATTAGATTAGATCAGGGGTACTCAAACTTTTTTGTGAAAGGTCCACTTGTGAATTGTATACAAGGTCAATGGTCCGGATCAATGCCAGTAAAGTCTGGACCTTCTGGTCCAAGCACTTGCCTGTCGGTAAACGGTGCCCCTGTATACACACACACATTCAATACATACATATATGATGGCTTGAACTAGTGGGAGAAATGGCACTGTTTGTCTGTAGCCAATGCCTTGAACCTCGGCAAAAATGGCATTAGAAGCATTAGAAAGTCAAGGTAAACTTGCGGTTAACTTGCGGTCTGCAATGCGTGTCACGCTCGCGCACACAAGTAAATATATATATGCACGTTCATTCTCACAACGCGTCAGACACAAGAAAATATACATTAATGGGGACCTATCATGCAAAATGCACTTTGTGATGTCTTTTATACATAAATATGTGTTCCCGGTTCGTCGGGGAACTCACGCAGCGTCAGAAAATAAAACCCTCTCTCTTTTCCTCAGTACCCAAATCTTTTAAAAGCGGATACAGATTTGCTGCCGATTTGACGTCAAATCGTCAGCGGACCCACAGAAAGTTGCTATCAGAAACAATGCCTGACGTGTTTTGGACGTAATCTCGTCTTTGTTTACATTAGCAAGCCTCGCTAACACTCAGAGCTAACCTGTACTGTAGAGCACATGTGTTTAAAAATCAGGAAATACAAAAAGGAACTCACCTTGTGATAAACCCGCAAGAGAAAAAGCATTTGAGCTCCATACTGTTTCAGAAATAATCTTTGATGTGGTTTAGAACAGGGTGGCGTTTTATCACAGCAGAATTTAACTTTATCTCTGGTAGAATTCTGATCAGGCATTAGCTCCGCCTCCTCTTTTGTTTTTTCAAGCTAAGGACCCAAAATCCGCGTTTCTCTAACAGGGCTGCAAAAGAGGGGTATGAGCAGTATGAGGCATGGCTACAATGGGTGAACTGTTTGGTATTTTAAGCAAAAAACTTCACAGACATGTTTTGTATAGGTATGGCCCTACAATATATTTTTCCAATATAGCATAATAGGTCCACTTTAATTTACATCAGAGTCAGAATTTATTTATTTATTTTTTATAATGGGACACAGGTTTCGGTCCGGATTGATTTGCAGTTCGGTCCGGATCCGGATCTTGGTCTGGATCCGGATCTTGGTCCGGAGTTTGAGAAGCCCTGAATTAGATGATTGTCTTGTTTTTATCTTGGTTTTATGGAAATTATAGATAGACATGCACCCCTGCGTCAATTTAGAGTGAAGGGACGAGGCAATCCTTGATTTTCTGCTGAATTATCTAGTCTTCTTCATGAGAGAAACAAGGCCTGGGCAAAGGCTAGGAAATCAGGCTCAGAGGTAGAATGGCTACGCTTTAGGCAGCTAAGAAATAGCTTCACATCACAAATAAAAAGTGCTAATTTGAAGTATTATCTGTCAGTTACCACAAACAACCTGAATAATCCTGGAGAATTTTGGAAAGCCATAAAATCGATATCCACCGGTGAAATCCGTAATGAGCTATACCTCCGTGCCTTAGCACAGCATCTGGCACAATATCGGACAGGGCTACTATGTTAAATTGTTTTAATGAGCATTTGGTGTCCTGTGGCTCTCTCTGTTTGATTCTGTCACTAACTCTGCTTCTGTGAACACCACAGTCTGTGACTCTGAAAAACGTATTTTGGAAAACCCTTTTAGTTTTACTCCTTTTACTGTTGATGTTGTTCGTGAAGCCTTAACCAAGTTAGATCCTAAGAAACCGGCTGGCCCGGACAACGTAGAACCTTTCTTTTTAAAGATAGCTGCAGATTTTATTGCTCCACCTCTCACTCTTTTTAACCTCTCCCTCAGCTCAAATACAATTCCAAAAGTATGGAAGTCAGCTTATGTCCTACCTTTACTAAAAGGAGGGGAGGCCACCTTATTAAATAATTATAGGCCCATCTCTAAATTGTCAGTTCTGGCTAAGGGTCTTGAATGCCTAGTGAGTGAACAGTTAAAGGAGTTTTTATGTACAAATGACATCCTGTCTAAACATCAGTCAGGCTTCAGAAAACAACATAGCACCATCACTGCGACAATGAAAGTGGTGAATGATATGGCGAGTATTTTAGATAATAAGCAGAGTTATTCAGCTCTATTTGTTGACCTGTCCAAAGCGTTTGATACCGTCGATCATCACATCTTGAAGCAGAGGCTGGCCAGTATTGGCATATCCAGCCATGCAGTGGGTTGGTTTGTGAACTATCTCTCTGAAAGGTCCCAATGTGTTCAGTTTGACGGGCTGTCTTCTGAGTGGTTAAACATTACTAATGTTTTAGGTCCTCTATTATTATCCATCTATATCAATAGTTTAGGTGAAAATGTCAATGGAGCAACCTTACATTTGTATGTGGACTATACCGTGATGTACTGTGCAGGTCCCTCCATTAAGGAGGCTGTTGTTGAATTGCAAGCTGTGTTTACCATTATTCAGACTCAGCTCTCTAAACTAAAGCTTCTTTTAAATGTTGATAAAACCAAGGTAATGCTCTTTTCAAATTCTAAAAAGACACCAGAGCCTGTTTTAGATATTGTAACTATGCAAGGAATACAACTTGAAGTGGTTACCTGTTACAAATACCTTGGTATCTGGCTTGATGATTGTCTCACTTTTAAACTTCATGTCAATAACCTGCTTCAAAAACGGAGGGTTAGGCTAGGTTTCTTTTACAGGAACAAGTCCTGTTTCTCGCTTGAGGCCAGGTCACTTTGACCTTTTTACCTGTACTGGACTATGGTGATCTGATTTATACGAATGCACCTGCCAATTATCTAAACAAGTTAGATGCTGCGTATCACAGTACGCTGAGATTAGTGACAAACTGTAAAGTATTAACCCATCACTGTACCCTGTATGCAGTTTTGCCTTCACTAACTGTACGGAGGCTCGGTCACTGGTACATTTTTATATACAAAGCCATGTTAGGGAAACTTCCATCCTACATCTGCTCCCTGATCTCACGGCGAATTGTATGTGGCTACTGCCTGAGATCGCATGCTGTGGTTTTATTAAATGTGCCAACTGCTAGGACTGTCTTAGGGAAGATAGCTTTTAGATGTGCAGCTCCACTAACTTGGAACAGTCTGCAAAAGGAATGGAAGCTGAGCAATTTGGTTCCACTAAATGTTTTTAAAGCAAGGATATATGCTATCCAATCGGAAACTGTTCGAACCTGTAAATGTCACTAGCTATGTAAATTGTAGTCGCTGTAAATATGCTGTATGATGTCCTTTTTGTTTTTCTGTTGTTTTATGTTTATATGTATTCATGTGGAACCTACTTGCATCAGGTCACCCTTGAAAAAGAGATCAATTAACTCAATGGGACTCACCTGCATAAATAAAGGTTTGAAATTAAATTAAATTAAATGATGAGCAGTCTGGCTCCTTATATGGTCACCCATAAAGGTTCCATATCAGTACAGACCAGTATATTAATGTGTGTGTGATCGGTTAATTTCACATTCAAGGAATTTCTGGGTGTTATTTAAAAGTGATTTGAGTGGTCCAAAAATCTCATTGCAATTGTATGTTTTTCCTTGAAGTCTTTTTACTTGAGCGTCACGCGCCAAAACAAATAGGGATATTTTTCCACCATACTCACCAGTGACAATGGCAAGGACGAGCAGAACAAGGACCTTCATGGCTCTTATATCTTAACAAGGAGATGCAAAGATAGTTCGCAAAGCATGTTCACTAAGATTTAGTGTAAAAAGAAAAAAATTCAGAAGCTACTCCAAGCCAATCTGTTACGCGGAGTGAAGCAGATAGGACCCAAACGCAGATTACACTTGACGATACCTTTATTTCAAGGACTTTAAATAAACTTGGACAAACAAAACATTCTTCGGTGAACTGGGTCACATACAAAAGAAGCACCAACACTGAACACAGGAGGAGACAGACTAAATACAGGGAGGGTAATCACAAGACGAGAAACAACCGGGCAGGGGAGGAGAAAACACAAGGGCCACAGGTGAACACAATCAGATAACTAGACACACCAGGGAAACTAATGACAAGAGGAAAAACACAGGGAAAAGGACCAGACAATAACCAAGAGGAAAACATGACATGGAGAACAGCAAAAACACCCAAACCTACAAAAGTGACATGAACTTAGGAGTGTGACATAACCCCCCCCCCTCAAGGGACGGATCCCAGACGTCCCAAAAAACAAAGTCCAGCAGGGTGGGTGGAGGGGGTCTGGAGGACGGGTGGAGGGCGGACGGCCCGGGGGCAAGGCAGAGACCAAGGTGGGGAACTCGGGCGGACGGACCGGGGGCAAAGACCGGACAGCTCCGGAGGCCGGGCAGGAGCCGGTGTCGGCAAGATCCCCCACAGAAGAGGACACAGGGCCGGCAGGACCCCCGGCAGGAGAGCAGTCGGCGGAACCTCCAACGGCACGGGACATAGGGTTGGCAGGACCCCCGGCAGAAGAGTAGTCTGCGGGACCTCCAACGTGACAAGACATGAAGTTGGCAGGACCCCCGGCAGAAGAGTAGTCTGCGGGACCTCCAACGGCACAGGACATGGGGTTGGCAGGACCCCAAGCAGAAGAGCAGTCTGCGAGAGGAAACTCGAGAGGGGACTCGAGAGGGGACTGGAGAGGAGACTTGAGAGGGGACTCGAGAGGGGACTCGAGAGAGAGGACTTGAGAAGTGTCTTGAAAGGGGACTTGAGAGGGACTCGAGAGGGGACTCGTGAGGAGACTTGTGAGGAGACTTGAGAGGAGACTGGAGAGGAGATTCGAGAAGGAAGTTGAGAGTTGACTTGT